CAGTGGCTAGCCGGGCTAGCTTTCGTTCACCCCCCCTGGCCTCAAGTTTTATGGAGGTTTGTGGTCCACCGAGCCGAGGCGCTTTACAGATCTAGTGATCATAGAGGGAGGCAGAACGACCCAAGACCAGGAATTTGGCTGGTGCTTTTGATCCTGGTGTCTTGGGTCTTGGTGGCCCATGCCATTGGTGAGTTCTTGGATCGCATGGTGCGCTTGGAGATGAAGAACGAGAAGGCGCCCTTTTTCTCAATGAGCCGGAACATTCACCGTCCACCGTCCTGGACGGTGCGGCTCGCCGTGAACCGGGAAACCACGGTCTGGAGAAGAGCCGCATCGGTCTGAACGATGTTTTGTCATGTTTTGTCTCTTTTTGCTCCATGACCCAGACGCTCCATGTATCCCATATAATATTATGCCATACCCCCACTCTTAAAATTGCAATTGGCTTGGGACGATACGTCAGAAATTGCATTTTCCAATTTCATTTAAAACGTGTCTACTTGGCTATCACCAAGTCATTCCAATTGCATTTGAAAAGTATCTACTGCTACTTTAAAAGTGTTTTCCAATTGCATTTGCTATCACTCACCAAGTCTTGCAGATGCACTCAAGGTCACAGCGTAGCTGAATCCAAGTACAAACTGCAGTCATTGGCCATCATTTGTTTCCAGGATTCCTCACCCATTGGCTGACTAGACCTTCCAACCGTTTCCACTTCACGTTTCTGAAAGGAAGGGCTACAAGTCAACTCAAAAGAACATCTCTGAATGTTCACCGTGTGCGGGGCCTGTGCATGTAGATTCTCCAAGGTGAGATGACTTTTCTTTTTTCTAGGGAGGCATCCTTGCTTGTGTTTGGCGGGCTGTGGCTCTTGGCTCATGGGCTGGCCCCAGCCTATGAGGCAAGGCTAGGCTCTGGAACAAGGTGCACGCCTTTGTGCGTTTGTCTTGGTTTGGACAGGGGTTGTGCGCTTGCATCTTAAAAAGTGCAGAAAGTCAGCATCGTAAACCGAGACCCCAAAACGATACCCCGACGATACACGAGAGAGTGCAAAAGGCAAGCTCCTTAGACTGTGCCCCAGGGGCGAGCCTGCCAAGGTGGAGGCAGGCTTGTGTCTTCTAGTGAAACAGATCAGGTCAGCAAATGAGCGGCAGAAGCCAGCAATGTTGCGCTTGCTGGAGCAGCCCTCCGTGCTGTTGTCCTTCCTCACTACACAGAGCTCGTCGCACTTCCAGTGTTTGCAGGGGATGCTCTCAGATCATGAATGATCACGAAAAGGGATTCCTGTGTTTTGTTGTTTGTGTTTTTGCTGTTTTGTTTGTTATGATCCGTGACGCTCGTTGTTGGTGGCAGATTCCCTGCAGCCGTGCACGCTGCTTCTCCCCTTACCAGCAGCTCAAATGCTCACGGCGATGAGCTGGGCTGTCACCGCTTGGCCGCCGGTGGGGGGGTTTGGGAGGCCTGCGCGCTACTTCGTTCACTCTAATACTGGTCGCGAGCTGAACAGCGAGAGTACGCTAAACATCTACAGTGCCTGCTGTGTGTCACCTCTTGCTACTTTGTCACGTTTTTCTTTGACACAGTCATTTAGTCAATGACAAGCATAGTGGTTGGTTAACTACATCCTAGAAAAGCTAGTGTCCTGGAGTGAAGGAAACGTTACCTCTGATCGTATATCGCTGGACGCATCTCCTCTGACAGGTCACTGCTTCGAGACACTTCTTGCGTGGCTGCCTCAGCACTTTTCTGTCTTCATTCCGACTCGTTTTTTTCAGTGAGATTTCCTGCAGCTGTGCACGCTGCTTCTCCCCTTACCAGCAGCTCAAATGCTCATGACGATGAGCTGGGCTGTCACCGCTTGGCCACCGGTGGGGGGTTTGGGAGGCCGCATCACACACAGACACCCGCGCACTGCTTCAACTTACACGAACACACACACACACACACACATACGCAGATTCATATACACACGGACATAGATACACACACAGAAACCCACACACTACCTCAACTCACTCGACTTAACACTTCACACTGCACACTTAACAGATAACTCGCACTCTGACTTCCTACGTGATGAAAAATGCTTTCGGGCCACTTGTCGTCTAGTTTTTCTATGTCGTATATAGAATAGACCAGAACTACATAGAAAAGCAACTACTGTACTTGAACGTCCAAAAAACAGGTGGTTTTTCTATGTCGGAGGGGTAGCTCCTCGCCCCCTTCAGGTCCACGTGATCCCCGACCGGTCCGCCAGGCCCGCAAGAGCCTTCGGCTCCGCCGGCCGCGGCACGAAGTCTTCGACGAAGCCGGGCGAAGGCGACCGCCACACCCGGACGAGACGTGCATCCGAAGCGGGCGAAGTGGTGTGGTGAAAGCGGTCGGAAAAGGATGGTTTTTGGTAGACTTGGAATTTGGATGTGATGATTCGATCTTCTCCAAAACACACATTTACCATCATTTAATACAGTAAGATCAGTAACTTGTATGGAGTCATTTTTTAGATCCTTTTTGTTGATGCAGGAATGTAAATGTGATATTCCTTGCAGTAAGAAATTGATCCAAGGGCCTCCTGAGTTATGGGATTCTTTATTGGATTAATTTCCCAAAGTTGTGCGAACATCCTTTGAGGGACTCAACGAGAAAAAAAAAAAACATGCGCATTTCACTCAGAAAAGTGTAGATTATTAATTAACTCACCACGGGGCGGGGGGAAGCAGAGTGTGGAGAAAAGAACTCCAAGAATAGAAAGAGCGTGACTACCTGTAGATTAGTTTTGTGATTTTTGTGCTCGTGTTGATTGCATCTCAACTTGTTGCGCGTTGTTTCTTGTGCTGGCAAAGACCGAAAAGGAACCAATCCTGTTTGCTTCGTTTCAGTTCAAAAGAGATAGAAAGACCTGGAAACAGCCAGAAGATGGCCTGGAAGACCGGGGGATGCCTGGCTCACCGTGGAGCCACCGCCCCATCTGGTGGGGTCAGCTGGACAGCCAGCCGGCACTGCTTGGATGGGGTTTGGTGAAGAGAGAGAGAGAGAGGGAAAAAAAGGCGCAAACTAGATCCGGAGGGTTCCAGGGGTATGTAAGTTTTGGAACAACCCTATCGAGTTAGTTTTCAAACACCTCCTTCAGCCCTCCTGAGTTGATGAATCTTTTGTTAACACTCAGACTCAAACCCCTCTCATTAATTAGGCTTGAACTTCTGAACCCAGCACTCTAGCAGGGTAGGGATGAATAGTTGGGGTACCCGGATTCAAACGATTCACATTTAATTGATCCGGGGCAGGGGGGTCATGATCTTTCCTAGGATGTATTGGTTTGAAGGGCTGATGGCAGATGGACTCTCAGCAATTCTTTCTGGGACGCTCCGGGGTAAGACCCTTCAAAAGCCGACCGGACAGGCGACACTTCAAGTGTCAAATGCTGAAATGCCTGGGTGCTTTGGCCCTGCAGCTTGGCAGCTTGGACAGGTCCTCCAGTGACCGGTTCGAAGTGACCGGTTCGGCACAGCGGAGCCAGCAACGAAGAGGTGGGTTCTTGGAAACGAATTGAAAGGACGGAAGATTTGTTTCCACAGGGATACATGATCTGTATGATTCTGTAATCCATGAATTCATATAGATGTCATGGGTCGCCTTCAGTCTGAGACTGCTCCGGTGACCTCAGCGAGCCTTCTCAGCCTGAGGCTCCTCTTCGTGAGCTGCCTGGCTGCGCAAACCTTGGTACTGGAGAAACCCAATTGGACTGACTGGACAGAGGCCGGCAAAACAGACTCGGCGAGTGGCGGAGTGGTGACCCCCCCTGGCGAAAGCTCAGCGTGTTCTGCCAATGTGCCACCTGTTGTGGAGGCAGGAATAGTGGTGCGATTTACATGGCGAAGTCTCTCACCATGTGTTTTAAAGGTGGTTGAAGTGGTTGAAGTTGAAGATGAAAATTCAGGAATTCCTGTTTTGTTGTGTTTTTTGGGGTGCTTCGGTTGGCCCCCACCTGTTCTGCCAATTCGTGGGCTCAGCTGGACTACTTGGAACATCTTGGTCGACGTTGCCGTCATCCGGAGGGCGGCAGAATGCCGCGGGTGGTTTCGCCACGGCTGCAGATGTTTGTTGCATATGAGTGTGTTTTTCAATAGGGAGACCCCCAACCAATGGATTTTGGGTTTATGTTCCTTCTTCTAGGGGGTCGAAATGGGTGGTCTCCCTTTTTTTGATACACACCCATATAGACACTCCATGGGACATGACTCCATTATCGACATTGGCCCCTGAAGCCATTTGAACCATCCCCAATTGTACAGACATATTCGACACATGGAGTGTTTGCCGCATAGATAGTGCTATATCAAGTTTCAAGTTACACGACTTTTGCAGAACAGATCAGTCATAGACATATAATTCATATATGTTGCATCAGGCTCAGCTCAGATTCAGTCAGCCTGGTCCTCCCCAAGCCCCAAAAAGCTTCAGACACTTTCACTTAAGAGCAGCAACGGCTTTGACTCAACGGCTCGTGCCCAGCCGCCCGATCCTTCGCCCCGCTTCGCCAACATGTTCTATATGAACCAGGTCAGTGTCCTAGTAACCCACATGTGAATAATTCGTAATGGACCACCAGTTGTCACTCATGGTTGTCCTCGTCCATCATTTGGGCTGGAATACATTGAACTTATATTTTTGGGCAGTACTCGTATGTGTTTGTGTGTGTGTGTGGGCAAAGCATCCAAAGTCATGATGGTTGTACATGCCAATCCCTTCCCCTCTTTTGTAGCAACAAGAGCAGCAGAGCTAGAGGTTTAAGGATGTTCAGAATGTTTCAGGGTGAAGGAATTGCGTACAAACTCGCCTCCCACACCTCCCTTTGGACGAAGAGCTGGTCACTTGTAGTTCACCATCAAAGCCCTTCCTGCCCAAGAAGTACGTTGACAACGTGCACAACTTTTTTGGGGGGATGAGTTTCTCCACTCAAGAATAACAGCCAGAAAAAGGTTATAGCCTTTATTTTCCAGAGAACGGCTCCGGAGTCAGCCTTGGGTCTCAGTCGCTGCTCCGTGGTTCGGAGTCGCTTCTCCGCCAGGCGCTCTACTTTAGTGTGGTGACCCTGGCAACCATCGGATATGGGGACGCTTGATCGTCAAAAGATGCGTTTCTCTATGTTTCTTCAAAATGACGGCAGACGAACAAACGACACACTTGTTGTTTTCCGATTTCAGCGCTGTCGCTCAAAGGCGTATTGGATTTTGATGTTTTGGTGCCATGAATCGACGTTTATCAGCCGGGACAATGTCAATTGCAGAACTATTTGATTCTCATGTCCTGAAGAAATGCAATCCAACCTAGGGCCTAGGGACTGTGATGACCAAATTCAGTCTTCAACCCTCCAAGCCAGAGGCTCATGCTTGGACACCGGACCTTATTCATGGTCTTATTCACCTTCACGACCCTCCGAGTTCGGTGAGACCCGGAAGACGCCGTCGCCGTTCGTCAGGATGTGACGCCCAAGTCCGAGAAGTCGAAGCTATCGATTGGACTCCTGGCCTTGATCGGCGTGCCCTTATTCGGCCTCTCGGTGCTTGCCCGGTGTGGAGAGAGAGTGTCGGAGAGAGAGGATGGCCATGTCGGACCGGCAAGGAGAGTGGAGTTGACATGAGGAGATCGATCTATTCATCGAGGATCCTGAAAGGCATCGAGGATCTTAGAAGCTGGACAACCCGGAGGATCAGCCTTTTTCCCCACGGACTGAGCTTTCATACGATGGTTCATGATGGTTCTTTGTGTTATTTGTTTCTAGGGTCGATCGGGGGGCGGTTTCAGTATGAGTGAAGTTGGCCAGCATTTCGTTTCAGTACAAGTGTGAGACCTGCATTTCAGTGAAGTTTTCCACGCTAAGAAACGTCCGCTTAGTGGGATAAACATGGATAAACGCATTTGAAGCATCCCTCACGCGAGAGACTCGCAAAATTCTTAAGCAAAAACACACACGCACACATTTCTTTGAAAGTCAAAAGACTCTCTACAGCTTGATACTCACAAGGGATATGTAGCCTTGTAGCCAACGGCATGGAATCCTCTAAGTTGGTTCTGTAGCCAGGTCTATCACCTTCATTCTGGTCTAGGTGATGGTTTCGGATATTTTTTTTTTCAAACCTTACTTGGGGATGATTGGACCCTCTGACTAATATTTGTCCAGTGGGTTGAAAACACCAACTAGTGGTTCTTTTTTGCAGTGTGACCATGTCACCACGAGACATGTCAAGTGATCAGGTTTTTTGTGCACCCAGGTTTGATCCTGGGTCGCATCGTCCAGATCACCTACGGCAAAGCACGGCGGGAAAGTCTACCAGAGGTCTGTGGAGGTCTCACCAATGAGACCTTTGATCAGTCGCCCGGTCGCAGGGAGAGCACAGAGGTTTGCGGTAGAGAGGAAGGTGCGCCGGCCGCGGTGACTTCAGACCTCGGGTCTGTGGGGAGAAAGGATGTGTTGGTGGTTTGGCTGGGCTGAAAGCAATCGGTTTGGCTCAAATGGGTTCCTTTGATTCGTTTGATTGCGCAGTTTCTAGGATTGAATACATGAAGTGAGCTGCTCGGAATACGTAAAGTTTAGCTATGTGAGATGCGTACTAGGTGATACTATACATGTTATATGTTTACTTCCGTGTGCTTTCTATTTCTGCCGGTTCCTTGGCGAAGGGTGTAGGAGATCTGACCACCGGCAGCCCATGAAAAGATGAGCAGACACATAAAGAGGAACTGCATGAAACCGGTTTGGGAGCAGCCTCAAGACTTCCAATGAAAGAGGACACTGATAACATGTGTGCATGAAACATGTCACCTGGATTTGCAGAAAGATGCAGAAGCCCTTCAACATCCCTCAGAACCAAAATCCCACAGACAGAAAATAGAAACACAAATAAACAAACAACCAAACAAACAAGCAAGCAAACAAACAAGCCAGCAAGCGAGCAAGCAAACAATCAAGCAAACAAAGCCAACAAACAAGTAAGCAAGCATCCAAACAAGCAAGTAAGCAAGCAACCAAACAAGCAAGAACTCAAGCAAGCAACCAAGCAAGCAAGCAAACAAACAAACAAACAAGCCACCAAGCGAGCAAACAAACAATCAAGCAAAGCCAACAAACAAGTAAGCAAGCAACCAAACAAGCAAGCAATCAAGCAAACGAGCAAACAAGGAAGCACACGAGCAAACAAGGAAGCAAACAAGCAAGCAAGCAAACAAGCAAACAAAGAAGCAAACAAGCAAGCAAGCAAACAACCAAGCAAGCAAACTAGCAAGCAACAAGCAAACTAGCAAGCAAGCAACCAACCAACCAAGCAAGCAAACAAGCAGACGAGCAAACAAGCAAACAAACTAGCAAGCAAACAAGCAAGCAATCAAGTAAGCAACCAACCAATCAAGCAAGCAAGCAAACAAGCAGACGAGCAAACAAGCAAACAAACAAGTAAGCAAACAACAAGCAAGCAATCAAACAAGCAGACGAGCAAACAAGCAAACAAGCAAGCAAACAAGCAATAATCAAGCAAGCAAGCAACCAACCAAGCAAGCAAGCAAACACACAAACACATTGCTTGCCACAGCTTCAGCCTACAGCTTTCGCGCCGCCTTGCTACGCGCCGCGGCGGTCGCTTGAGGCTGATCGACTTCACCGATCAGATGTGGCGGAGCTGAGAATTCAGAACTGATCGAGTTGGTGTCGAAAAGCCCAAAGGGCAAAATATTGTTAAGTAGACTGGGCTGAGCTTCCTTGAATCAAGAAGCGCTCGCACTCATGATTTGTTTTGGTTTGCTATCATAGTGTCATAGGGAAACTGAACAAATCTTAGAGTAAAAGACAAGAAACTGTCTCGGATCCATTCAGGTGCCTGGACCAAAACTGGTTTCACCCGTGGATCCATTCATTGACATTTGGGAGTTTTTTTTCGTGGACACGTGAAACCTGAAGCGATTTGCAAGGAAGATGGATGCTTCCTCCAGTCGTTGCAGTAGTTGAACCAGGTTCCAAGTGCATCTCCTCCGTGTACACCAATGGCCTTCCCAGGATAGGTCCTTGTTTGGTTTTCAGAGTCCGACACAAGTGCCACAAAAGCCACCGATGGTCTGCATGCTCACCTCATTTCACTCCCCATTTTCATCTCATGTCTACAGAAATCGACACTCATCGAATCGGCGGTCGCTGAGACAGAGTTCGAGCGCCGTGCGGTCCCCACATCAGGTGGCGAGCTGGAGCTTACAACTCCCAACCCCAGAGAAGCCGACGTGAGTCGCTTGGGGCATTGGTGCTGGAAGTGAATGGCCAGCGGGTTGGAATTGGCCGTGAGTCAGGCAGCGGAGCTGGTGCAGTTTCTGTGAAACTGAAGGGGTTGACATGGTTGGAAGCCAAGATGAAAGTGGCTGAGAAAAGAAGGACCATCGGGTGAACATGTTTGGGATTACAAAGTTGTGTTTTGGTATTCTTGACCGCTCGTGTACCTTCAAAATCATTCAAAGTCAATCTGATTCAATCTGTATACATGCACAGCATGAGACCAACCAAGATTGTTTCCCATACTTTGGCCTTCGCTCCGAAAAGGATTCAAATCCAGGCCTGGCTTTCCACATATACTTTCTCAGAAGCTGCGACCGGACCCTCCATGCCGATGTTTCCAGTATCTCCAATCACCCACTATCCAGAGGGTGGGCAGTGGATCCATCGGGCCCTATGGGTATTTGCGACATCAACGTTCAGTGCCCGAGGCAAATCACTCCGTTTGAGTTCTTGTGCTTCATGCTCACGATGCTCGGCAGAGAGAACATCGCTGGTGGCTTGCTGGCCTGGTGCCTGCTCGAAGCGTTGAAGGGGTTTAGGGAGCTATCGTGATCCCAAAGGAGGTCACTCCACTCATCCACTCCCCATTGCATTTCTTACGTCAGTACGTCCCATGCAGAAGCAGAACAAACTATATAGTATATGACGGAAACCAAATGACACCAAGTATGATCAAATGTCAACATGGCAAAGAAACAAGCAACATCTATGAACTGCCCCACATCGACAGTCATAAAACAACTACAAGTTACAGGTCAAAGACTTTGCCGAAGCAAAGGACTGTCATGTTTGTCCGGAACGAATGCCAGCGACTCCAGCCTTCTCAGGAAGAATCAAGCAGTCACCCTTGAAGAGATCCGTGTGATCATGGCCAACTTCTCAGAACTCGAGCCACGGTTATTGATTGCTTGCGACCCTTCGGATTTGCTGACAAAGAATGGCAACTGACAACATGTATTACATGTAAGGATATATAACTACAATTACATACATGTCACTGTAGAAAACATCAAAAGCGTGATGCTTTCAGAAGTGTTGTATTTGCAGTATAGATTTGTGCAACATTTGTTGCTTCCCTCCAAGAGAGGAACCACGGAACGGTCCTGTTGAAGGCAAGAGTGGGGGTTCACGGCCCATCCTCAATGGACAACCCCCTTTGTATGTGTGGGAAGCGGGAAATGAATGGTGTTCCTTGTTCTTTGGTGTTACTACCATGTCTTCCAATCGAGATTCACGTCATGTCCACTTTCAAAGTTCGGTCACCTGAGTGAGAGGAGACGGCCAAAACCATGCCAAATGTATCTCACAGACGTCCAAAACCAGTCAAATGATTCAAATGCTCCACGGACTTGGTCAATCACTGGTGGACTACCAGGTTGGTCCCCATGTCCTTCTCCAGAGCGGCCGGAAGTCGCAGCGAGAGGGGAAGTCGTTCTGTGTGGCAACTGAGCCGAATGCTTCCCTTCTCTTCATTACTACTTGGAACAAGAAGCTACCAGGTGGAGGCCATCGCTATTAGGTGGAGGCCATTCCTACTAGTAACAAGAAGCTACTAATAACATGTTCTCCGAATGCTTCCCCTTCTCTTCCCTCCTCCGGGATCTCGCCCCTCCGCCCTGAACGGGGCGCCCGTTGTCCTCCGAGGACGTGACGAAGAGCGGCATGTTGGAACAACACGACGTGGACACCTGGATCTCCTTAGGCTCGGTGGCGCCCCCCCGGGCGCACGGCCCTGAGCCGCAAGTTCCGCAAGAGCTCGCAGCTCAGAGCCTCGGCGTGGTGCGGAGGAGGCTTTGGGGGGTGAAGCAGTAACTGAAGCACTCGCCAAATGGATCCAACTGGTGTGAACAAAAAAAACACAAGGGAGGATCCATGAAGATCCTCCCCCCAAAAAACAGATTTGTTTGGTCCAACCACCTGAGGCAACTCCAGAAACTTGATGGCATAACCCATCCGCGGAACCGAGGTGGTAGATCCGGAGTGAGCAATGGAAGTTTCGAGGTCACTGAGGCGAGCTCGCTGGCGCTCGGGTGAGCCGCTGTGAGGTGGACGGATTGGGAGGCCCAAGCTACACACCAAACCCACTACACCCCCCTACACCCGGTGTGGAGTGGAGACCCAATATGATCCGATCCTCCTCTGAGAGTTGAGACTCGAAGTCATTTGGTTGGGCTTCTGTTGGGCTTCTCCCTATTACCAAACTCATATCACAGACATCAGGTAGATAGACAAACTGTTCCCTCAACTCTCATTTGAAGTGGTGACTACAGAACTGAAGATTACAAGGTGTATCCATGTGTAGAGTAGATTGCAAATAACTAGTTTGTTGAGTTTTGGATAGTCTTGGCTTAGCCTGCCGCAGCTTCTAGGGTTTCACACGATGCCCCTGTGAATCCAACACTCCTTTGATGTGTTTTCATGTTTAGAGTCTGAAGGAAAACAGACTTGTGAGAGATGATTGGCACATGATTCTTGCAGATCACTTGATGAACGATCACATATTGCACTGACTTCTCTTCAACATCCATGCACCACATGAAGTAAGGATGTGAGGGGACCTGACTAGAAGGGATGGTCAAAAAAAAAGGGAGGCCTCCCGGAAAATATATGACCAGTCTAGCCAGCCAGGGGTCTCCGGGGTCTCCCTATTAAACACACACCCACCTGGAGTCTTTGGGATCTGACTCAGAGTCTGGGCCCCGCGCTGCAGGGCTCACCCAACGGTCGGCAGCATGCCACCTGAGTGGCCCGACAGTCGAAGAGGCAAAGCGGAGCGATGCCAGCTGATGGACCTGGAAATTCCGGTTGATCGAGGAAGGCCTCTCAGGCGATCACATTTGCGAGCATAACAAAAGCGGTGGAAGAGTCTTCTTAGTTCATGAGAACTGTAATTGTAAAGCTGCAGATACGGTATGGTAGTGTTTTTATCCCAACCTGTAGGAACATGACCGGCACATCTCTTTACTGGACTGGACACATCCAATCTTTGAATTAGCAATAAATGAGAAAAAGGCTCAGCTGCAAGCTTGGCAAGCCCAGCTGAACTAAAGCTGTGATTCATGTTGGACACCCAGCATCATGCCAAGTAAACACATGAAAAGATCATTGTTCAGCAGAGGTTGCGTCAACATATCAACGATCAGCATGGGATCGCTGTGCGTCGCTTTGCGTCTCGCTTC